TCAGTCAATAGATCATCCAACTCTTGACCTCAGAGTAGTGAGGTGAAGCCCCACATTGGGTGTAGAGGTTACTTAAGAACAACAACAACAACTGTAACACACATACACAAAAAAGGGGTTTTGATTTACTTGTCTTTTGAGGTCTCCTAGCGCAGACATCACCTAATCAATGGTAGCCATGTGCTAGTTATGTAACTTGGGTAGACACATCTAAAAAACTTACCACTAAGTCCTAACTTCCCAATATGCAGAATAAGATAATTATAGCATCTATCTTAGGGTCATTTTTTTTTTTAAGATTTTATTTATTTGAGAGAGAAAGAGAGGGAGCATGCACACGTGAGCGGAAGCAAGGGGCAGAGGGAGAGGGAGAGAGAATCCCAGGCAGTCTCTGTACCAAGTGCAGAGCCGACACGAGGTTCAATCCCAAAGCACGGAGATCATGACCTGAACTGAAATGAAGAGTTGGATGCTCAACCAACTGCGCCACCTCGGTGCCCCTTAGGGTCATTTTGAAGATCAAAATTAGATGATGTATATCAAGTATGTATAGTGGCTAACACACTTAAGAATACAAATACTAGCTACTGCTAACAAAACTTTATTTCCAAAACGATTTAGAGAGTATAGCCTCAGATTTTCTTTTTCTTTTTCCATTTGAAGGTAAAGACGAGAGTTTCTCCCAAATGAGTGTTTCTCCCAAAATTAGCTCGAATTCAGTATGCATTATGCAAACCAAAGGGTTCCCTAACTAAGCAAGTTTTGGTTAAATAACTTTTTTTAAACTGCAAAACTTCTCAGTGTTGTATGCCAAAGTACACTACGAACCCTAAAAACGAGACCCAGCATGTACTATTTCCAAAGTAACTGCACCATGAAACTGACCCCTGCCTTATGGAGAAGATGTGATCCTGGGGCACTTTGGAAAATGCTAATAAAAACAACACTAACTACATATATAAAACAAATAGTATTCTTAAGAAGGATATATGGTCTTCCCATTTCATTTAGTTAAATGCTCTCCATCCTTTAGATCTCAGGGAAGCCGTCTTTAAGCCTCTAAACTTAATCAAGACTTCCTGCTAGGGGCGCATGACCTCAGGGTCCTGGGATCAAGTCCCAATCCCATCGGGTTCCCTGCTCGGCGGGAAGCCTGCTTCTCCCTCTCCTGCTGCTCCCCCTGCTTGTGCTTTCTCTCTCTTTCTGTCAAATGAATAAATGAAAAATCTTTAGGAAAAAAAAAAGACTTCCTGCTTGATACCCTCAAGTTTCCTTAGACTCTTCCTTCATCGCCCTTACTGCGATTTCTATTAACATACTTGAAAAATTATTTGATTACTACTTTTATCTCGCCCACCAAACTATATTATGCTCAACCCTATACCTCTAGAATCTAGCACAATGTCTGGCGCCAGATAATAGATGTGGAACAAATATGTGAATCCAAGAATTTTACAGCAGCTTTACCATAGCAAAAAACTGAAAACAATCCAAGCATTTACTAATAGGAAATTAAGGTATTCTATATTTATATTATATTAGACAGCCATTAAAAAGAATGAGCTTAATCTCTGTATTCTGACATACCCACTTTAATCAAATAAGAAAAAAATATACTTTATTACATATATACCATATTTTGCATAGACACCTAAAAACATACACAAATTGTTAACAAAAATTGTTAACAGTGACTATATTTCAAGAGGAATAGGACTGGGAAAAGGTACTTTCACTTTATACATTTCTCTATTTTCAATATTCTCCAATAAGTATACAATTCTTTTTAATTAATTGCTTTGAGCAACTGCAAGTCTTTATAAATTACCATATGCTTTAGGCTCAGTTCATATTTGTATGTCTATTTCTCAAAGGTATTTTTGTAATGATCCCTATAGCAATCTTGAGAAGTAAATAGGACAAGAGATAGCAGTAACCCTGTTATTATAAATTAAAAAAGCTAGACGTAAACTGCCTAACATAACAAAGCAAAATAAACAACAGAACTGAGGCTAAAATGTGGATCTTTTTCTTAGGCCAATGTTCTTTTAATTACACATCACTGCCTTTCCAGAAAGGGACACAAAGCAGCCTTAAAACAAACAACATTTTAGAACTAAACGACTAGAAGAGATTTAAACCTATTCCATCACTAACAAGTCATGAGAGGACACTGCAGGCCAATGGCCATGGAGGCCTCTTTTTAAATAACCCCAGTGAAAAGGAGGTTTCAAAATCCTAGTGCATGCTTCTATTAGACAACTCCCTTATATTCAACTGAAATCTCTCTGTAACTTTAACCTTTTGGTTCAAGTTTAGCCATTTGTAAGGCTACAGAATAAGCTTCTCTCTTCTTCTGGAGTATATACAAACATATGAAGACAGCTATTACCCGTGTGCTTTTGAGAATGGGTGCTTTACTTAGACAAACTTCCCAACAGAACATATATCATTATCCAACTGGTTGGCAGAAAAGGGAAACTATCATGCAGGACTCCCACATACTCATGAGGTACAAATAGGCAACTGTCACTACAGTCTTTTTTTTTTTTTTTTAAGATTTTATTTATTTATTTGAGAGAGAAAGAATGAGAGACAGCATGAGAGGGAGGAGGATCAGAGGGAGAAGCAGACTCCCTGCCGAGCAGGGAGCCCGATGCGGGACTCGATCCCGGGACTCCAGGATCATGACCTGAGCCGAAGGCAGTCGCTTAACCAACTAAGCCACCCAGGCGCCCTGTCACTACAGTCTTTTAAGGAGAGTTAGAGAACCACGCACTCTCATCACTCCTTTGTTGCATGGCACTGAGTCAAACAGCTTTCTGGTATAAAGCATAGGAATGAAGATGGGGTCAGACAAAATCTTGGCTTTAGATAGCTGCACATAGCTGGTTCAAGAATTTGCTATGAACAGAGCCAATTATTACTCCTCCATTAGAAAGATGATCAACCTGATCTTCCCTCAGTAAAATATTTCTTGCTGTTTTGGTCAGATTCTCCAACAACAAAACACCTGCTCATTCTATCAATGGACAAATGAGACTACCTCAGGATTTAAAAGATGCAAAGAAACTGATGATAAAAGTTATAAAATGAAACTTTGTGAATGAATTTGAGATTCATGAAAAGATTTAAGAGGGTAATGACATGGTTGTTAGAGAACACCAAGAAAATGAACAATAAAAAGTACAAGAAGTACAAGTTCAAGAAGTCTTATACTTAGAACTACAAGAGGTAGAGGAAGCTACATTGTAGCTAAACATTTATTAAAACTGCTTTTTACCACCTGATGAAAACCAATCAGAATTAAATGCTTGTGCAAAAGCTCAGAGCAAAAATGCAGGCCAAGACAGACATCTATTTGGAATAGCACAGCTTTTTATCCTGGTTTACCTATTAATGAGCACAAACGTGGGAAAGTCTTCCCAAATGCTGCTGCAGGTTCTTTCTGAATGTGAGCCTAAATAAGGGAAAGGAGAGGTCCTCTGAGCACCCAGTTGAAAATATCCCTCCTTAACCTTCCTCACTGAGCTATCTTGCACTTCATTCGAGTTTATCGTAATTTGTAATTAGGTATCTTTGTGCTTGCTTGTTATCCAATGGCCCAGAAGAATTTAAGCTCTACTCTTTAACACTGCAAACACAGGAACATAGGGTTTTGTACATGGAGGGTGCTCATTAAATATCCGGAAGGTAAGTGAAGACAGAGAAAAAAAAAGGAGATCACAGATTACCATAAACAGTTTACTTTGCTCCTATTCAATGTTGAGAAATTAATCACCTAATGGACAATTATGATCCAGACCAAAGCATACGTCATTTAGTTTAGCCTCACAACAAAAGTCTGAATTTTCTTCCAGGTCACAGAAACCCTCCTAAAGAAGTAAATGACTTATAACCAACAAAACAAGAATTTTTACATTAGCCAAATAATTTGATCCTCAAAACAATCTTACAAAAGAGACAGTTATGTTGGTGAGGACACTGGGGCTAAGAGCTCTTAATCCTTCACATCCTCCCTACAAACCTATGGGCTTGTAGTTCCCACAAAGAAATAGTGGCTGCATAAACTTGGTGCAAACTTTGAGAGACACTCGTGCCATAATCCTCATTTCGTACTGCAAATATGTGATCCAGATGGGAATCGTTCAACAGCTCCATTTGCATTTTAGGTTTTGATGAGAGTCCCGTTCACTGTGTAATTGGTTAAATGTTGACCGCCAAATATATTTATGAGGAGATAACACGTCCAGGTCAAAGAAAGGGCGTGGGAACATCATTTTAAGAAAAGGCTGCATTGCAGCCAAAACTAACTCTGGGCTGCGGTCCACAATCGCTCTCTCCCAACTCCTCGCATTTCCTCTCTCCCCTTCACTGAACCATTCCTTCCTAGAGTCAGATTTGGTGCAACAGGCAGGTTCCTACCTTGGTCTGAACACTCTTATCAAACTTGTCATTTTTGAAGCTAAACGTATTCTGGTGCCTCTGAGGCCTGGAACGAGCCACGTTCCCTTTCTGGGAGCTCATCGTGGAAACCACAATCACCTCGCGCTGGTACAAGGAAGACGCGGGGAAGACCAACACGCCAGCAACTACTCGACGGAGGCCACGCTTCTGTCACTGACCCGGAAGGAACTTATCCAGCCTTTCCGCCCCCGCCCCCGTCAGCCCACGTGACTCATCGCGGAGGTCAAAGGACTCCCTCTGGTCCGTGAAAACCCTCAAGGTTCTTCCACGCGGCCCAGTCTCGACCCATCCCCCTCCGCGCAACCTCTCTCTCCAGCCCGGCGTGTAAATCCCGCTTCCTTCGAAGCAAGAATTCCCCCATTGGTCCGAACGTGGCAGTCCATCAAGGCGGAGAGGCGGGGAACTTTTGCTTTGATTGGTTCTTCTTTTCCGCAATCCCCGCCTCCTGCCGTCTCAGCTCAGCCTCTCCAGGCGCCCGACTCCGCTGGGCGGCTTGTGATTGGTTGAAGTCCGGCTAAGTGCGCGGCGTCCCTCCCCCGGCCCGCTAGCTGGCTGGAGCCCGGGTCAGCTTGGCATCTTCCTCCAGTAAGTGACCAACTCCTGCTTTAGCGAGGATTTTGCTCGCCCCTCGGTTTCCTTCCAGCTTTCCTACCGCCACCAGAGCTAGTCCCGCGGTGGCAGGCTGAGGAGGAGCAAAGAAAGGAAGGTTAAAGAGAAGAAAGACCTGGCTGGGTCTGGGTGGTGTCTGCAGTGCCAGAAAGGGAGGTGGCGGCGGCGGCGGCGGCGGCGGCTGCGACCACGGCCGCGCGGGACGTGAGGCCCGAGAGCAGCCGACGGCGGCGGCCGCTCCAGAGCCTCGCGCCGGGGCCGTTAGTCAGCAGAACGCGAGCCCGTGTGGAGGAGCAGGACCGGAGCGAAGCGAGACTCGAGAGCGCGAGCCGGCCCCCCCGGGCGCCGCCGTCCTTCCTCGTCCCGGCGCCGGGGGCTGCAGCCCTCGTCCCCCCTTCTTGGCCGCGCCCGCCCGCAGGCCGGCAGAGTCCGGCGGCGGCAGCAGCAGCAACGTGGGTCGCACCTTGTGGAGGACAGCGCGTCGGCAGAGGCTCTCTCCCGGCCCTTTCTTCCCGACACCTTGGCCGCGGCCCGTGAGGTGCAGGTGCGTGGGGCCGCGGCGGGCCGGGCGCTGCGGCCGGGCTCGGGGAGGGGGCGCTAGGCCCGGAGCCGCAGCGCGGGAGGGACGAACCCGGGCCGGGAAGGGGGAGGGGAACGGGAGGCGTCTTTGTTGTTGGCGACCGGGATCCCTCTCGGCGGCGGCGAAAGGCGGGGAAGCCGCTTCGGATCGGGTCTGGTTTTGGCTTCTCTGGTGGTTCCGTGAAGGGGAGAGGTAGGAGAGTCCCTGCGAGCAAGGGTTACGGGAGTCTGGGGGCGGGAGAGAGATGGAAAGCCGGACTGAGAAAGGTCTTCGGTCCTCCTGGCGCAGAAGGGTTTCGTTTCACTTGTTTTGCTTTTCTCCCCATGGACAGAAAGATGGGGTCAGCTTCACATTCTCGTCCCTAGCTCCCTGTGAGGTTGGCGATGCCCGAAAGCTTTCTCCTGAATGTCCTCGTGTGTGCCAGCCTCGATCTGAGATCGAATCGGCCCCGTTCTCGATGATTTGTGTTCCCGGAGGGCCGTCTTAGGGTTCTTTTTCTCTGGGTGGCTCAACTTGAATCTTAACCTGTTTCCGAACCCTAGATTGGGCTCTTCGGTAACTGCTTTTGAGTTGGAAAATGAGAGATTTTGTTTGGAATTTTTTCTTCACCCTGAAACGAAAGTTCTGTCGAGTTTGAGTGTATCGTTGTGAAGCCCCCCCCCCCCCGCCAAAGAAAAGTGAGTTAAACCCCGGCTTTTTGTTAGAAAAAAAGTTAAGAGCTTTGATCCTTGGGGAGATTTCTGCCAATGCCAGAGACAGTTTTTGGTGTTTTTTTTTTTTTTTTTTTTAAACGATGCTTTGGTAGAAGTCTACGTGAAGTGGGCTTGATAAGCAAAAAGATGAATAACGGAATACAGAGGGTGACCTTTAAATTTTGGCTGTTTATGGAAAGGTGTTTTCTGTTTAATATATTTCGTAATATATATGCATATAATACCTCATCCGCAAGATGATTCATTGATTTTTTTTTTTTTTTTTTTAAGGCTCCAATACATAAAAAGAATTTTGGAGATCTTGTGTCAGCATTTGGAACTGCCTAATGAGCCTGAGTAAAAAGTCAGGTACATGTTGTAATAGCGTGTATCTGTTTACATTAACAGGAAAACTTACAATAAAATGAAGTTTTCTCCATAGCTTGTCTCTTCATACTTTGATGGCATAAACTCATTTGTGTAAGATATTTAGTATCTAATGGTAACCAAGATTTTAATAATCATAATTACCAGTGTTCTTACTAGGGACTGCCGAACTTTTGTTGGTTAATTTTCGTTAGAGTAGAGGTGGTGGCTTAAAGAACAGGGGAGATAGCCATGTTTCAACTTAATAAAAGAAAATGCCTGTTGTGCAGTAATTGCTGTATTATTTGAGGTCCGTGAGCAAATGAATAGCACCCTCACCCATATTTTGACCTCTCTTCTCTCCTGCTCTGGTATTAATAAGGTTAATTGGGAAGGCTAGGATTAGATTTTTAGCAGGCTAGTCAGTTTTAATTTTGTCCCGTGCTGTGCAGGACTGTAGTTGGTAAGTGGCTTGTTTCCTTGAGTATCTTTGCCCATTTTGAAATATGTATGAAATGATATCTGACAAAGAATTTGTTTCCTGTGACAATTATCAAAACATCATGGCAAAATAACGTCTTTGATAACTTAATGAGCACAGAAGAACTAGGCAATTAGTGTCCCAAGTTCTGTCACTGAATTGGTCTACAAACTCAAGCCATCTGAGTCAGTTTCTCCATCTGTAATATAGGGCCGATAAAATGTGTTACCTACACATTTTATAGAAAGGGCAGTGAGAACCAGCAGTTACTTTATGTGACATTGATTTAGTTTATTAATAAGAGTACTTTTCGATGCAAATCTTTCATTTTGGTATTATGAATTTCAATTCCTTGGTGAAGAATTAGCCTAAGGAAATACAGTTATAGGGAGAATGTGCCGTCATCTAAGAATTGATAACTCAAAATTTCCTCCATGTTAAGATTGGTGTAAATATCCTTAGAATCAGTGATGATGAGAAAATAGTGACGAATTGGCTTGGTTGGTTTATTTACTGGTAGATTTTATTTCCAGTATATCCAAGGTTTTGTTCTTAATTCTCAAAACTTACTTCTCCCTTTCCTACCCTGTTAAAAAATTCTCATATATGTATTGCCCTATATTATGCCTCTCAACCCTAGCCTTGTGAGTTGGGGAGGAAAAGTGATGTTTTATGACATTTTTAGAGATAAAATAAAGCCCAGAGAAGTTAATTCTTTGAATTGCCTAAAGCTACATAATTTGTAAGAAGTAGAACCTGGGTTTTCTGACTTCTAGTCCTGAATCCTTTGCTTTGGAGCAGTGTTTTCCAAACAGTTGTTTGGACCCAACAGTTTTCTAATTCAGATGAAATGAGAATACAGCAATATAAGTATTGGCAACATACAGTATAATGAATATTCATGCACCCATTACTCAATTGAAGAAATTAAACTGCAAAACAAAATGAAGCTTCCTTTGTACTTCGAAAACGCGTCTTAAATCCTACTTCCTCTTTCCCCTACTCCCAGCCACTAACCAAAAAAATAGAATGCATCCTTCCTATCCATGTGTTTATACATAACTACATGCCTTTATGTCTTTGAACATTATATAGTTTTTCTTTGATTATTTAAGACTATGTAAATATGTTTGTATCTGTAGCCTGCTTTCTAAACTTTTATTTGCCAAGATTTATCTATGTTTATTCAGATAATTCTAGTTTATTTTTACTGTGATAATGGTATGTGTTCCATTATGTGACTATCAGATTTCTGTTGATCATTTTAGTTTTTTCCAATTGCTTATTAAGCACCGTGGGGAATATTCTTGTATATGTTTACTTAGGTACATGTGCAAGACTTTCTCTAGGGCAGTGGTTCTTTAGCCTATATCCCATTTTTTATAGAAATATTTTATAACTTCTCCAATTCTGCCCTAAAATGAAATTCGAAATAACCAGCTCATTTGAAACTTAATGAACTTACAAACTTACAATAAAATTAAAACTTAAATTTACATTGTATTTTAAAGTAATGCTCCTACTAAAATATAAGAACTAAGAGTAATGTATTTCACTGTGTAGATGCTCAAACCAAACCACACTCTAATCTTGCTACCAAGTGTGATAGTAGACTAGTAAAATCAGAATTCAAGGAGCTTGTTAGAAATCAGAACCTCAGAACCTGCCCTACTGACTCATGCTGAATTTTAAGAAGACTCCCAGGTGATTTGTGTGCACATTAAAATCCAAGAAGCACTGCTGGAAGAAACAGAAGTCAAATACTTTGCACCAGTGTTTAGTATCGCCATGAATAGGGTAAGCTACTGATGCAAATTATTATTATTTAAGATTTTATTTATTCATATGAGAGAGTTGCAAGAGTGCGCGCGCACAAGCTGGGGGGAGTTGTGCAGATGGAGAGGGAGAAGCCGACTTCCTGCTGAGCAGGCTAGATCCCAGGACCCCGAGATCATGACCTAAGCCAAAGGCAGACGCTTACCCGACTAAGCCCTCAGGCGCCCCTACTGATGCAAATTAAAACAGATGTGTTGAATTGGCTGTTCAAACACCGATGGTGGCACTGTTGTTGATAAATGAGTTTCTGAAATAACTATTTTCAGTAAAGTTTGGACCAAAAAAAAAAATGCAGTCTTCTCTTTTTACACAGTGGTTGCGTTCTTTAAAATCTTCATCTGTATTAAAGCAATACAGGGTGCCTGGGTGGCTCAGTTGGTTAAGCATCTGCCTTCAGCTCTGGTGGGGATTGAGTCCCTCATCCTGCTCCCTGCTCAGCAGGGAGTCTGCTTCTCCCTCTGCCTCTCCCCCTGCTTGTGCTCTGTCTCTCTCAAATGAATAAAAGCGAAATCTTAAAAAAAAAAAAAAAAAGCAATACAAATATACTTTGTGTTAAGTCCTGTTTATAAATATCTGACCTTATTTACTCTCAAGTGTTTCAGTAATGGTTGAGGGGATCTATTTTCCCACCTTTCAAATACTTTATTAGACTTCTTAAGGTTTGCCATGCTGAGGAGTATGTGAGGTGTGGTACCTCATTGGAATTTTCATTTGCATGTCCCCAGTTAGTCTTGTAATTGAGAACACTTTCATTTATATTTCTGGGCATTCATGTTCCTTTTCTGTGAATTGCTTATTTGTTGTTGGGTTTTTTTTAATGGGATTGTTTATCTTACTGATTTCTAAATGCTTTTTATGTATTCTGGATAACAATGCTTGGTAGCCTTTACAAATACCTTCTAGTCTTTAGCATGGCTTTTCACTTTAAATACGGTGTCTTTTTATGACTTAAAGTTCTTAAAGTCAAATATATTTTTTCTTTCTTTCTTTCTTTCTTTCTTTCCTTCTTTCTTTCTTTTTCTTTCTTTCTTTCTTTCTTTCTTTCTTTCTTTTAAGGTTTAAGTAATCTCTACACCCAGGTGGGGCTTGAACTCATAACCCCAAGACCAAGAGTCGCATGCTGTACTGACTGAGCTAGCCAGGTGCTCCTAGTCTATATTTTATGATTGTGCTTTTTCTCTTTAAAGGAAGTCTTTTTCTATCCTGAAGTTGTAAAGATTCTGATACAGCTTTTTAAAGTATTGCTTTTTTTATATTTAGATCTTAAATATAACGAGGTATATGTGAATCTAAATTTATTCAATAAAATCACTACCCTTCATAGTGAAATTATGTTTTTTTGTTGATGTGTTCTGATGGAATTAGTGATAGTAGATTGTATTTAGTTTTTAATATTCCTTTATGGCAAAATTAAAATTTGGCAACTCTGTCACACCAACTTTTTTTTTTTAAGATATTTATTTATTGAGAGAGAAAATGGTAGAGAGAGAGCATGAGAAGGAGGAAGGTCAGAGGGAGAAGCAGACTCCCTGCTGAGCAGGGAGCCCGATGTGGGACTTGATCCCGGGACTCCAGGATCATGACCTGAG